TTGACGCATTCTCGAGCAGTTGTTTAAGCTTGCACAGTTCTCTGTTCTTTTGTATTCGGCTACTATACATGTGTCCGTCTGTTCATCCTATGCTAGTTAAGGAAGCCCGTGAGAATAATAGCCGGGGGTGCTGCTCCTTTGATGTTGTCAGACAGTTGAACGCAGACCCTAGCCCTATAAAGATCGGCCTGTTTAACGAAGGTCAAAATGTAGCCTCTGCCCGACTAAGAGACCAGGCTGTATCCTTTTTTGGTAGATATAAGGTTATCGGTGTGTTTGACACCGCTCATAGACTATGTTGCTAGCTTATTCAGCCTCTTCAATTACAGTATTTTTGCCGGACACAATTGTGAAGACGTGGGCGGTCATGGTGGGGTGTGACCTCTCGACGTCAAGTGCCGATTTACTCGGCGTTGCAAAAACGACCAAACCCCATGTCATTTGACCGCTAGCCTTGTTACGTGGGTGCAGTCTTTGGCCTGCTAGCGTCATGACACCGATTGGCTGCACGCGTCTGGCTGTGCTACAGTTTTTCGTCACTATCGTAAGACCGCTGGATGGGCTGCCTTCCTGCAGCGAAGGTTTTCCTATACTCAACATGTCCTTTTGCTGTTTACTTTGGGGAACCGTCGTTTCATCATAAGTATGCATGCTTTCCAGAGTCTATAATGGGTGGCTAGTTTGACGTTATTAGTTGGATATTAGTGACCACGTCTCCCATGCTGCTAATACTCTAGCTGTTTCTACTAAAATTTTAACAATCATTTGTTTTCGCAAATGTAAGACCAGTTGCTTTCGGTATGTCCGCCAAAGGTACTAGGCGCTTCATTTTACCCTAACAAGCGAAATTAGAGAAGCCCACAAACAATTCTGAGTATTCCGCTGTTAGAGGGCAGCGGTGCACTAGATTACTGACGTAACTATAAAGTCCACTAACGTCCCAGTGTCACTATATTTAAGGGATATCTAGGCGGGGTTGTCTTTGAGTTCCCTATTTGTAAATGTGTGTCGTGGTAGCAGCAAAATAGTATCTCCGTTTTTTTGGCGTGGCCATTTGACATGAGCCATAAGGTGGAACATAGGGTTTTTTAAAGAGCAGACAGTGAGAAAAACTCCTTGGGATTTTTTAAGGGGAAAAATCGTTGTTCTTGTTGGAGTCGGAGGATCTGATGGGGAGTGAGTATTAGGAGAAAAAACGTCCACCCTTGGGGAGGAGGGGGTCCAACGAGAGGGGGCATTGCAGATGTCACCAGGATCATCACCGAGTATGGATGATGTAGCCTGGTACTCCATTACTGATTGCAGACTCCGCCGACCAGGTTGAATTAAACAGAGATATCTACTCAGATCGTCGACAGTCCGATGCGGGTCGAACCAAGGGAGAGCGTTTGGGCGCCGCGTAGACTATGGCATACAGGTTTCGCTGATGCGATCGCTGTCAGGGCCATCGCGATATGCAGATAATCAAATAATGAAGACCGCGGCGACTTTTGCATGGAACAAATGGTGGGGGAGCGTAAGCCATAGGTGTTCATATGTAAAATAGCAAATAACGAATGTCACTATAGCTAACAGTATTTTGCATTTTTCGCCGTTTTGTAGGTCTATTCGATTGAGGTGCAACTCTCCTTACCATAAACTGTATGCTTTAAACAAATACTGCTAGAATATACAAATCAGTATTGTACTTTATCCAACTCTTTCGACTACGTGTTTTCTTTTTTTATCACGCCTGCAGTTGCCGCGTGGACACATTTTATTGACGAGTCTCAAGCAAATGACAACAACAACAACGACCGCGGAAGCTCCAGGGTTAGCTCGATAGTGGCAGCAGTAGCAGCAGCAGCAGCAGCGACAGTGGCATTGCCCGCCCACCATGAATGTGGTATGGTCTGCATTCAGATGCTGCATGCCTTCCTGGACACCTTGTGGTGGTTTATGCAGCCCCTGCTCTTTTCCTTTCTCGGAGCGTCTTTGCCGATGTTGAAGAAAAATATTCCTGAGTACAGGTCTGCAGTTGGTGAGTACACTTTGCTCTCTATCGAGTATGAAGAAAAAGAAGAGAACAGTTAAAATTGCAGAAGTAAATAGGTTTAGTAATGTCGGCAAAGAGAGTGGAGACTGAAAGAGTCGTGTCTGGCTTATTAGTCATCGTCAGCCAGTCATATTCAGACTCAAGTGGAGCTCCAACCGAGTCTCAAAAGGAAAGGATACAAAGTAAACTGGCCGGGCTTGTGTTTTCGTGCAACTATCAATTTCGATGAAGTCCACCAAGTGCATCAACCTGTCGGTGCGGGTGTAGTATCTCAATGCAGAGATTTGTAATAGTAGTAGCCATACCTCCTAATAGCAATAAAATATTTTGTACTGAAAGTTCAATAGAAACAGTCCGCTTATAGAAGCCATATTACTACTTATCTTTTAGGTCAGCCTGTTTTTGCGTGTGTCACTAACCGGCTTGCTAACCTTACAGTCAAGCGTTTTAACTATCTAACCGTTAGTTGTGTCCTGTAGGACACATGTAAACGCCAAGTCTGGGATCTTAGTTTGTCGAGCCGTGTCCGTATCTATATTATGTTGCACAACGTTGTTTTGGCTGAGCGCTACAAACAAAATTCTTAAATTTGTAAATGTTTGATTATTTCTTCCATACCAGCGGTAACGCATTTACGAAAACTTATAAATAATAATGAGCAACATTAGTCATATTAAGCACTTAAAAGAATTATACGAAGTACTAAGTGTTTGTTAAGAAAAATAAAATATTCTCGATAATTCCCAGCTTGTGGAGACGTCAAAAATGGCTATAAATTAGAT